CAGACATTCGCTAGCACCTTCGCTAGGCGAGCAGGTCGCGAGTGTTCGCTGTAGCGAGCTAGTAGCGAGCTAGTAGCGAATGGCCGCAGACTTGGACATAATGTAATTGACCCTCTTCGCTGGTAGCGAGCGAGGTAGCGAGGGATTCGCTAGGCGAAGCCCCAGCGAGTAGGTAGCGAAGTCTTATAGTAGCTTCTGTTTGCCTTCGCGAGCTTGTTCGCTAGGCAAACAAGTAGCGAGTGTTCGCTAGGCGAGCAAGCTAGCGAGTGTGACAACATTTTCATTTCCTTGAGTTTCCATCCAATGTTGATTATTTAGTTCGATTATGTTCAATCCTTATCGGAAATGAATAGTTTGTGTACTGTTGTGATATGTTATGCTGTGGGTAGCCGTATGGCGTGAATCCTAGATTGTGCAATATTGTGAAATGTGGCATTTTGACATATATAATGCATTGTTTAAATTGATTAAAAATGCATGATGATTTATGATGAGGTTCGTTGCCGTTTGGCACGATATTGTGAATGCATATTGATTGTATGCAATATTGTGAATAATGCATGAGAGCATATTGTGAATATGTGGTGATGGTATTGAATTGTGAATGCATATTTATTGTATGCAATATTGTGAAGAATGCATGGGAACATATCGTGAATATGTATGCATTGCTTGATAAATGTGATGATGTTGAAATTATGAATACTTTGATATGATGTGTGAGTGTGCAATCATGTTATAATATTTGTGTGATGAATTATTTGACTATGCATGGGATTAAGATGCAAGAACGGTCTTAAGTGCATTTGTTGCTGGTTGCATAGCATCATTTGGTCAAGAGGCAATGATTGCTAGTTTCATGGAGACTAGTGACTTGTCCCAAATCTAGAAGGGTGGGTTTGAAAGCTTAGAGGACGGGCTTTTGTTTGCTATCGGTCTAGGGGACGGACCCGGTTTAAATGTAAAAACCGAAAAATGATAACAAGTGTTGGTACCACATGGCATGAGTTGCATTGAGTTGCATAGAGTCTCATGGCATAAATATATGATTGTTGTATGAAGTTATGCATATGTGTATGTACATGGCTTGTGTAATTGAGAATGATGAATATGTGATTGTTGTATGAAAGTATGCATATGTGCGTGAATTGTTGGATTGAGAATTTTGGATGTAGGCATGATGAAATATGCTTGGTAATTTCCATATCTGTTTATATCTGTATTGTGAATGTGTAACTGTGAATTGGTGAATAAACATAATATGAGCATGTTGATGTGGAATGATGAGGATTATGGATGTGTGTATGATGAACACGCTTGATGATTATCCATATTGGTTTATATAAACATTGTGAGGTATATGATGATCATAATGAATTGTGGTGAAAGAATGTGGAATATGTGTATTCTATGCTTGTGTATACATATATGATTATATGCATTGTTATTATGATAATATTTCTCGCCCTTCTGCTGGAATGATGTCCTATCTGACATCGTGCAAGTATCGAGAATAGAGCTGCTCGTAGTCGCGTGGTCGTTGTTGGTGTAGCCATTTAGTAATTTAGTTATATTGGGTCGAGTCATGCTCTGGTCATCTAACACTGGGATCGTTTGGTTTATATTTTAGAGATACATTATGTATTCTATGTTATGTTTTTATATTTATTGGAATATTATGATGTTGGCCTTGGTGCCTAAGTAATGTTGAAGTATGTGATGAATCTGAATATTCTGTTAAGAGAATTATGTTATAAAATGAATCCGCTGCTACATGCAAAGTGAAATTGTGAGAAGCATGATTAATTATTATAAGTGTTAATGAGCATGACAGGTGGCTTTGATGTTTCGAAAGTTATGTGTGACGCCCTTTTGTGAATGCATGAAAATTTACTCTGATTATTCGTATATTTTCCGTGGGGTTTAGAAGGGTGTTACAGATAGCATCAAATACCAGATGCTTCGCCACTATAAGACTTTTCTGACTTTTACCTTTCTTCTTGTCAAACTTACCATCCTTTCGCAAGAATTTTCCCTTAACGGACAAACCTTCACCCGCCGTCGAAGGTTTATGCTCATTTCGTTCGTGTAGGTCCTTAGAATACCAGGCTGACTGAACTTCTTCAAAGCTCAGGGACTTCCTTCCATATAGGAGAGTTTTTTTGAAGTGAGAATATGTTATGGGCAAAGCACACAACAACAACAACAATGTTTGATCTTCATCATCGATCTTCATATCAATATTTTCAAGATCAAGAATTAGCTTGTTGAACATATCCAAATGCTCAACCAACACTTTGTCTTCACTCATCTTGAATGAATACAAAGCTTGCTTCAGGTAGAGTTGATTCACTAGAGATTTGGTCATGTACAAACTTTCATGTTTCAACCATAGCCCCGATGTCGTAGTTTCCTTTGATACCTGTCGAAGAACCTTATCACCAAGGCTCAACAATATTGCATTGTGGGCTTTCTCTATCATGATCGTCTTTTCTTTTCCTGTTAATGCAGCGTCCATAGCCGCCTCTCCCTTCAACGCTTCCAAACAACTCTGCTGAACCAGTAGGGCTTTCATCTTCAAGTGCCACAGACCGAAGTCGTTCACTCCGATGAACTTTTCAATCTCATACTTTGTTGAAGGCGTCTTCTCCATGCTCACCGCACCAATTTATTGTGAATTAGGATGCCTTAAAACAAAATATACTCGGTTTCTTTATGATCAAGAAACACACAAGGGTTAGGTTAAGGAAAGACAAGGAGAACAAAAAGGATTGATTATAACTGTTATTCTTTACTTTCTCTATAAAACAGATTACTAGTACTTAAGAACAACAAATAACCCTCTCATCCTAATTAGGTTTTGTCACACCACACTTAAGATGAGAAACTAGTATGCTATTTATAATAAAACCTAACATACTATACTAATGGACTTTTTAACAATTACCCATTACAAGCTAACTTAGCGTACAAGCTAACTTAAGCGATTAGATCCTTAACACAAGACCTAATTCAACAACTACATACTAGAACACAATTTCGACTACAACATGTAGGTCTTCGACAACAACATGTGAGCAAACTTCGACGGCATGCTAACTAGAGTTCGATCCAATATCTCACTATAAAAAAGGAAAGCAAAACAAATCAACTTTCAAGACAAAGAATGTGGTATCAACTATAAGACCACTTCAATTGTTGCACATGGACTTATTTGGTCCATCAAGGACAAGAAGCTTTGGAGGTAATGTATATGCTATAGTTATTGTCGATGATTTTTCTAGATATTCATGGACACTATTTTTAGTGTAAAAGAGCTACAATTTCAAGCCATTCAAGAAGTACGCCAATCGCATCCATTAGAAGTGACAATGGTGGATAATTCTAGAATGCATCATTTAAAGAGTTTTGTGAGAAACATGTCATCTCTCATTGTTAATCAATTGTTTTATCGCCTGGGTATTTTTCGCGTCGCGACATCTTGAATGGAAAAGAGTAAATTTTATGAAGATCCTAGTTTTGAATGCACAGGAGTAGGACTTTGAGACAGTTATTGGAACAATGTTGTAATAGGAGTAAACACTTGTGAGAGTTTTGTTCTACTTTGTTTTTTTTTGTTTCAAATGGAAAGGAAAGACAGGACGAGTGTAAAATTTGAAATTCATAAGTGTTAATATTTTGAAATTCAAACATATTTTTAACTTTGAAATGACTGTGGTTTTGAGGTTGGGGTGCATCCGAATTTCAAAATTTGTATATTTTTGTTTACTTATAATTGACGCGTGCTTTCATATTTTAAAAATTTAAAATCAAAATTTCAGAGATATTTCAAAAATTTCTTCGGCGTGAATGAGTAAATCATGAGATATAGTGAATAATTTTGACTACCTACCTATGTATCTACAAATAAATAATTTTTACAAATAAATAATTTTTCTAATATTTTTTCTATGAACATAGAATAACAATGTAGCACATTTATTATGTTTTAATAATATTTTTATTTATCGTATTTCAACTCATTTAACAATTTTAGTAATTGTTCTTGCAACATAATAATGTAATAATAAATATACTTTTATTAAATAAAATCCAAATAATTATTATAATAAAAATAAATGATTATTATCTTAAAAAAATACTATAAAAAGAAAAACAACTATTATGAGACAGGTAACAAATAACTCTATTAATGATAGATAATGGTGCAGAAACATTGGAATTATTAAGTTAAAGAAAATAAAAATCTGATCACTAAATGATTATATTAAAAAAATTGTGACAGTGTGACATTAGATTATTTATCAATATGTTTGTTTACCAAAAAAACCCCAGCCCTTTTTACGTACACACCGAAAATGTGTCTAAAAACGACATCAAAAACATAACGTGGGGTTTTGTCGTAAGAAACGCATATCGGGTAAGGGTATTAATGTCATTAACCGTTTCTTTTCAGACAGACAGTCACCGTTTCTTTCTCGTTCTTTCCAGTTTGGCTTTCGGTCGTTGAGTGATTTCAAAAGCCTCTCAAAAGCTTCAACTTCGCACGCAATACGATTATTCTACAAATCGTCGATTCTGTCTGTGAGTAATTGTATCTTCTATGAATCATAATATTGGAATGAATCCTTAATGATTTTCTTAACTAAACGTTTTTAATAAATTCTGGTCAATTGCATTAAAAACAACATGATCAATTAACAAAAATTGGGGATTTTCTGAATATTCACCCAATATTCTCGAAATTAATGTGATGGCGTCGAATTTCCCAGCGTGATTGACCTGGGTCAATTGTTTTATACAGTCCCAGAATGTTTAAATTCATGTGTATATCGAAAGAGAAAGCTGTTAATGTTTTTATTGTTGTTGTGGTAGTTTCATGTTATTAGTAATTACTAATGTTTTATGGAAATGTCTTTTGTGCAAGGAAGAAATATTGTGGATTGGGAATCGTTTCAATTCTGGTTGAAGGATTGAAGTGGGATTGTGAGTAGAGGAGGATGGCTTGTAGGGGTTGTTGGGAATGTGTTTTGAAGCTTTTGAATAGCTTACTGACCATTACTGGTCTAGCAATGGTGGGCTATGGGGTTTATCTTCTGGTTCAATTCGGTAAAGCTCCGAATAACTCTCTGACTGTTGCTACGGTCAGTGATGATCAAACTTATATTCTACTTGGCAGACCAATGCTTATGGCGTTGCCTCTTTCCAACAACTTTTTTGATGATTTGCCCAAGGCTTGGTATGAATGCTGATCCTCCTCTCTTGTATATTTTCAATTTTCTTTAGAATAGTATCTTTGAGCATGTAGAAAGAAGACTTGTAGTTTCTGTAAGGAGAGTATATGACGGAGAGGAGTCAAACAAGAGGTAGAGGAAGACTTCGAAAAACTATAAGAGAAGTTATTAAGAAAGATTTCGAGATTAACGATTTGGATAGAAGTATGGTTCAGGTTAGAACATTATAGCGAAAGTTGATCCATGTAGCCGGCCCCACTTAGTGGGGTTAAACTTGGTTGTTGTTGTAGTATCTCTGATTGAAGTCCAGGCAATTGAAAGCAAAAACTATTCAACTTGCTTTGGAAAAAATAATGGATAAAATCCATTTGGGTCCAGCTTCCATTATGTTAATAACAATAACGTGACCTGTAATATAAGGTTTCTATTGTGAGCAGCTATGTGGAGACCTGCCAATGCCGATTGATCGTCATTATGTAATAGTTGGAAGCATGCTTCATTATTTGGTGTAATCAATGCATTACTTTTTGTTGCTAGTGTTGAAGAAGCAAACGTGAAATGATTATGAAATTTGTTTACCATCATTATTCTTTTTTCCTCGATACTTTCTGTCTGCATTCACCCTAGTGAATTATATATTTACTACAATTTTGTTACTTTTGTATACACCTCATACTGTTTTATCTTCTGACTTGCTTACACTGATTGTGTATTTCATGTTTGGCAGGTTTATTTACTTATTCATTGGAGTTGGTGCTGTTCTCTTTGTTATTTCTTGTTTTGGCTGTATTGCATCTTGTACACGGAGTGGGTGCTGCCTGAGTTGTGTATCCTTTTAGAATTCTTAGGCTATGGTCTAACGCGTTTAATGGGTTCATGCAATTTCTATCTCTCTCTTTCTCTCCTCGATGTGTATGTGTGTGTGTGTGTGTGTGTTTGTTTGTATTTAACTGTGTACATGTATTAATCTTATAGGAATTGTTATTTAAGTTTTCCTTTAACCCAACAAAGTATTCGGTTTTGGTGGTTTTGCTGATCTTAGTAGAGCTTGGATGTGCAGCCTTTATATTTTTCGACAAAAACTGGAAAGAGGTATGTTGGCACTAGTAATTTATAATATGAAATTCTAGAAGTTATATTTTCCATCTTATAATCATCTTCTTTTCAGGAAATTCCAAGGGACAAAACTGGAAATTTTAATATGCTATATGATTTTCTGAGAGAGAACTGGACTATTGTGAAATGGGTTGCGCTTGGAATTGTTATCTTTGAGGTAAGAAGGAACTGTTATGATTGAAAATATTCTAAGAACTAATAATGTAAAAGTCTCCTCTTACTATACCCCACTATGATTTTGAGACGCGCACAGCAAGATAAAATGTTTATACACGTATTATGTGAAAGTGACGTGCCAATTGTTATGCTTATGGAATTGTAGGCCCTTCTTTTCATCTTAGCCCTTATTGTTCGGGCTGCAAATAGGCCAGCAGATTACGATAGTGATGAAGAGTTCATTAATCCAAGGCAGCAGGCCCGTCAGCCTTTGCTCAGTAGACCAGCAGGTCCTGCACCAGGTGTACCAGTTACTGGCACAGTTGTTGACCCACGTTCCAACAGAAATGATGCATGGAGTGCAAGGATGAGGGAGAAGGTGCAATCTTTTGTCTCTGTAGTGCACTTTATTTGTTATTCTTGTTTACGGAACTTTTCATCTAGAAAAGCTTATTTGTGAGACTTCCATCCCCTATTTATACATAGAATTAGAAGATAAAGGTTGTTGTTTCTGTAACCGTTTCTCACATTGTTGTTGTTCTCTTTCACTAGAGAGCATTTAATATTATGATACTTTTTTTTAAAGCAACACCTTTCTAAGAGACACGCCACATATTCACCCAAAATCTTAAGGCGATAGGTGGGCGTGTTCTCTCACTTATAAATGCTCAAGTCTCCACATTTCCAACTAATGTGGGACTATTACCCATACTACTCATACTTGCTACATTCTCAACACTGACTATCACAATATAGTAGTGCTGGTGTTGTAAAATCAACTTTCACTCATGCATAAGATATGTTAGCCATTGGATGTAGCCAAAGCCCTATGTTCTGCTTCTGATGAACTTCGAGAGATAGTTGCCTTTTTTTGGATTTCCATGAGATCAAAGATTCTCCAAGAAAAATGCAGAATCCACTCACCTATCTGTGGGTGTCTGGAAAGGTTTGCCCAATCAGAATCTGAAAAGGCCTTGAGTTGAAGGGTTGATTTTGAAGAAAGAAAAGTTCCTTATGCTGGAGAAGATTAGAGAAACTTTAAGCCTCGTAGTGAAGATTAGTAGGTGAGTTCGTGTGTTGACTGAGTTGCTGCATTGAAAAACTAGTATTTGGACATGTATTGGTTAAGCAAATGAGTTTGCAGACCAGTCTTCTGTAAATGGAAGGGTCTTGCATAGGAGTTCCTCCTTCTTTGTTGAGTTTGGTTCCTTTCGTCATGGAGTAATGTCTGGTTTAGTTGCAAAAGCAAGAAGTAATCAATCATACTGATGTTAATTTTGCAATAAGAGAGGAAGTGTCAAAGAAATCAATACTTTCGATTTGAGTAAAGCCTTTAGCAACTAGATGATCTTTATACCTTTCTAAACTGTGTTTAATATTGTAAATTCATTTACATTCAATATGGTTCTTACCGTTAGGTAGAGTGGTGATGATCTAGGTATTGTTCTCCTTTTTGCATTGGTATTTCACAGTAATTGTCTATTTTCTATATGTACTCCTCTAGCATAGATATACTATTTACATAACTCTTCTTAGGACCGTTCTGATCATTTCAAAAGATTATTAAAAGGTCACATTATTGTTATTTTTTTGTAAAATGTTTATTTCATTGCGTATGCATGATTATCTGACACTAATGGTGCTTCTGCAGTATGGTCTGGATACATCGGAATTCACATACAACCCATCTGAGTCACACAGGTTCCAGCAAGTAAACTCACAACCAACTGAAGAAAGGAGCCGTTGTACCATAATGTGATCACTCCAAAGTCAGAGGTGATAGAATATTGAAGGTTGTTATTGTGGGCGGAGTTGAGGCTAGAAATTTGTGAGAAAAACATCTGTCGCTTAATTTGTCTATCATTCCCAATATATTGGTTCTCCATCACTTTCTTTCCCTCTATGACATGAAAACATATCATTTTGTTGTGTAATATTCTGTTGTGTGAGAAACCAGCATCATAGTTTAAGGGAGTAAATTTAGTTATTCATAATGTTGTCTGTATTTTGGGGTCAAAATGTATTTCTGTGAGCTACTCCCACACGTTAAAATACATCACCTGCATTATGGTGTTTATTTTTGTGTTCTAAAGTCTTTACTAGCCATATCTGTTAGGGGTGTGAGATGTACCATGAAATACTCCATTTTAGATTTTCTTCTGTAACTTGTGTTGGTGAATGGTTAACGCCTAACGGCTAGTGTTTGAAATGGTAAACTGTTGTATATATATTTAAATAAAAAAAAAACAATACACAACTAGAGGCAGTGTTGGAGTGTATTTTATGGCTGTTTGGCTCCAGGATTTGTGTCTTATTAAGTTGATCGCACACATACCTTGTCTTGTATAGGGATATAAATGAATATCTGTGAGAAAGATAGAATAGGGATATAAATGAATATCTATTGAGAAGGATAGAATGATATCCGTGTCTATCTCATATCTGTGCAGATATCTATCAAACGGGTAATCCGTAGATTTTAAGACACTCGCGATATCTATCAAACGGATAATCCGTAGATTTTAAGACACTCGCGAGTGTTTATATGTATTCATGGATAACATTGTTTTTCTTCTAAAATTAATTTTTGAAAAAGATATTTTTATCTTCTTTTAGAGAAATAAAATATTATTATTACATTACGTCTATTCAATTTGCTCTTAATTCAATTACATAATTTTATCACATTATTATTATTTTTTTTTCCAAAACAATAACAGCTAAACACAATATCTATATATTTTGTTTTTAACTAAAATAAATAAATATATTGTAATTATGAGTTATGGTGGAAGAACAAATAATAGAGGAGTAGGGAGGAAAGTATCGATTGGACGGAGGAACGATCATACTCGTTAGTTGGACGATGAAATTGTTGAAGTAAGGTTTAGGATATAAAAGAAGATTAAAAATATGAAATGACCAAATAAGAATTATATGCAATATGAAAGACTTTCTTCTGAGAAAATTAATTTTTTAAGAATGCAGATCATTTTTAATAAAGAATACGGATCATTAAACTTGTATTTATATCCATTAAAATTGAGTATTTTAATATTTATTTATTTTATCCATAAAAGTTTATTAAACTATACCTTCTGTAACCGTGACAGATTTTATCCACGACACCGACTGATATTAATTTATTTTTGCAATCCCAAGTCTTGTAATTCCATTTGAAGCATATGCCCATCACTGTAGTTGTCAAAATAAGGTAGTCTAAATATGTGAGGTTTCAACTTGTCATCCTCAAAATTATACTTGACAACTCCTAGTGGCGAAAATTTTGTAAGGAAATATGCTTCAAATTTTAGTTAGAGACACTTATGAATTATAAAATTACGAGGGATGACAGGTACAAGTGTGGAGGTGACCCGTTAAAATCTCTAAATGTGTCCATCATACTTGTCAAAATAAGGATTAAGATAAATAATTAGAGTTCGAATTTTGAAGAATTTTACTTGACTTCAAAAATAATTACACCTGACACCCCACGTTATTAACACTTTTACCATAATATCTTCATATTTAAATATTACAACTTTTACTGTTTAAATTATTACTTTTAGGAGGTTTTGAAAAAAATTAGATTTTTACTGCAGTTTTTAAAGTATCTACGCGATATTTAAAATAATTGTTTTTTATTAAATTTATGCATTTACAAATTATACTATATTTTTCATGAAAACTATACTTTTTTATTGGCATTTTTGAAATGTCCGATAATATTCAAAAAAAAAAATTTTAATCGAAATTTTGGAAAAATGTGATATCTTATATATTTTTATCAGCATTTTTGAAATTATCGATAAAAATGCCTACATGCTTATCTCCAATTAAAAAATACCGGTACAAACACATACGATACAACATTTTTAAAAATGTCGTTGATAGATGATCATGATCGAATATTTATAAAATTTCAGTATTTCTTTTACTTTTGTTCTCTTTGTAGTGAGGATAAAAGAAAGAGACACCAAGTTTGTTCCTAGATTGAGCGATAGAGCAAAAAGAGAAGTTATAGAGAGCTCTAATGGAGGCGGCGAAGATGACAGTGAGCAATTGCATATTAGGGGGTAGAGTAGCCTCCACTGATTCTCATTGTACGAGGATTGAACCTCCTTATAAATCCTACACTCTCCAGCGTATACAAGGTAGAGATGGACGGACCAACAATCATGATGTCGAGCCAACTGTGGCCTTTGTTGATGATGTTGAGTACATCATCAGCTCAGGCTGATATAAAGGTTCTTCCCCAGGCTGATATAAAGATTCTTGCTTTAGATGATATAGAGGTGACAGCTCAGTTCGATATAGAGTCGTCTGTGCACATAGATGGATGGTTCTGTGGAGGGCCCCATTAACTCGACCTTGCTGAATGGGTATGTCTACCATGTGGCATTGAATGATGATGAGGAGAGGTATAAATATTTTTATTTTAAGTTGTTTTAATTATTACAACTTAATTGAATGTAACTGATGGTTTATACTTTAGTTGTTACAAGACCACATCCCATTGAAGGTGCCTCGACCTATGGGGAAAAGTAAAAGAAATTATTAGATGCCAAATGAGGTCAGGGAAATTGTCGCTAATGTCAGTCTACTACCGTTGGTGGACTGTTCCCTCACCATGTTCAACACTCCATTATTGTTCGCTTTTGTTAAGCGATGACATAAGGAGATATACTCCTTTCATCTACCATTAAGTGAGATGAAGATTATCATGTATGATGTCTCTAGCCTCTTCCATATTCCCCTTGCAGGTAACTTTTTCACCGCTCTGTCATGAGCAAGAAGATTGCATGTATGGTTGTTGAGATATACCTGGGGGTTACACCGAGGTTGGTCTTGGATGAATTCAGAGCTAACAGAGGTGCTTACATCCACCTCTTTTTGCTTTAGGATATGCATCAGAATATGGTGTAACACTCTATTTATGAGGCGTCTACTAGAGTATAAATGTTGGGTATTGTAGCATGTACTATCACAATGAATAAATCTCATGTATATATCAGTGTCAGATGCATATCCCTGTTTGCTGACTTTGTGCATCTTGGCTGAGCACGAGGTTATGCTGCTTTGATTATATTATATACTGCCTTTGGAGAGGTGAATGCCTTTTAGAAGAGACTGTTTTTCAGTTATATGAATCTATGTCATGTATGAATATTTATTATATTTGATTTATTTAATTCTTATTTTTCAAAGACATTTCATATGTGTAATTTGTATTTCTTATGCAGTGTTGCATATACAAGCATTTCCCGTCTATTTGTGAAGGCGTGATCATGGTCCTATTACTGATGGCTCCTCATGGGCCACTAGATGGAGGTCCATACATTCTCATTTAGGCGGTCTTCGGGAATACATGAGGAGGATCAATGCTTTGATTGTAGACGATGCCATATGGACACTGCATGTAGACTATAAAATGTACCATGAGTCCGATAACACTCCCCTATTTTCAATTATTGGCAGAGAGAGAGAGAGAGTTATGTGGCTAGATATTTACCTAAGAGGTGTATGCGCCAATTTGGGTATGTCCAGGGCATTCTTAGACCATCCCTTATGCACTATTTCAGGTTATTGATAGGTCGTTTAGGTCTAACAGTATTAGCACTGTCATTGCTATTAGAGAGAATGTATTAGAGGTGCAGGTCCCTGGTCACTGTCTAAATGGTTACTTAGAATGGTACTTTACATTATTACACCCTTACATCATCTCATTTGTTAGCCTGTAGATGATGTTGGATCTTTCCATGATGGAGGATCTTTAGATAACGTGCCACCGCCTCCACCCGTATGACTGACTAGTAGCGGCTACATATGATATCACTTCTTTCAGATAACCTCACGGGTTTGGTAAATCTAGATAGTGAGGTCTATATCAGGTTTCTTAGATATCAGACATTGTCTATGGTGGACCGACTTAAATTTTATTAGTTTGTTAATTATTTATCATCACTAACATTATTTCTGGTTTGTAATGAATTATTTGTATATTATTGACATTTTATCTTTACATTTCATTAGATGAAAATTAGCATTATACTATTGTAGAATGAATATAACTTAACACGAACATATCTTAACACAACTTAACAAGAAAATAACATAAACAAAACTTAAACATTACTAGATGATTCAAGAAACTTTAACATCTTGATAATATTTTCGAAAAATCTCACAACTGTCACACCCATGTCGATCAACTCGTTGTTTCGTGTAAATGAGATGTGCTCCACATAACTTTTAAATCTCTGTCTGTCTTTAACTCAAACTTATAGAACATAATCTTCCCTTCATTAGCAATCAATGGTGAATGATACTCGATTTTAACCACCCTTCTGTTGCTAGTATGGTGCAAGAGGTTATCCATTTTAGATTTCAAAATATCATAAGGAGTGTCATTTGCGAGCCTAAAATCAATAGGAGATTTCACGCCGATGAAGTACACAAAATGCAAGATACTAAAATTGAGACATTGTGAGGTTTTTTGCTAACAACATATGAGACATATTTATACAAGTTTTAAATCATTATAGACCATATAAAAGTGTTGGTGGAATCACAACCCCACAAAAGTGTTGGAAAAATTTAACCGTTCAACATTAACACTATCATATTTTTTAGAGGCGTGGGGGAAATATCTGGTATATTAAATATTTTGAAAAAATCGGTAAAACTTTTATACGCAATGTATTTTCAAAAATATCGACAAGAAAACATATTGAATTTTTTGTACGAACTATCAAATTT